AACTCTGGGGCACTGCAAGTAGTGGTCGTGGTAATAAGGGATAATCATTCTTCTAGTGCTTCTGAAAAGGCCCTGGCATGACCAGTGGCTTTATGCTTAATAATTCCAACCATTCCTCCTCAACAGTTAGCTTAAAACTTCCAATTATCTTCAGACCAATCTGAAAATATCAGTTCCAGTGAGAGACAAGATGGGTGAGATAATATCTCTTATTGGACTAACTTCTGTTTGTGTGAGAGACAAGCTTTCTTTACACAAAACCATGTCACTTGAAAGCTTGTCTCTCTCACCAACAGAAGATGGGTCCAATAAAAGTTATTACCTGACCCACCTTGTCTCTCTAATGGACCAACATGGCTTCAGCAACACTGCATAGTTTCAGTCACAGACAAGTGGATACCATTTAAACAGAAGTGCCCTAAGGCATTGGATAATGTATGATATTGATTTGTCACACTAGTCCCCTTCACTAGTTTAGAGGTAATAGGTGTGAGGCTCTTACTAGTTTCTGGATACTGTTGGCCCTGGCCCAGTTTGCATGCTTCCTTACTGCTATGAAAAGGATCAGTATGTAGACCACTGTCACTTGGTTGAAGACATTATTCAGATTAAGGTCATGATTCCCAGTTCAGCCAAAGAGAGCAAGATGCAAACCCAAGGAAGGTGACTTGCCTTTGTGCCCCTGACCCCGAGGCTGTGAAAATCTAATCTACCTCTGCCATTAATGGCTCCCAGGGTCTGTTACAGCAGCCAAAGATCAGGCAGGCCTCGCCCTTTCTTTTCTGGCTACTTCCCCTGCACCACCAGCTGGTGGAAGGGGTAGCCAGGTGCCACAATAGCAGCTCTAAGCCATTGAAGATACCTTCTACCCAGGGGGAAGCCTCTGGGGTCCAGTTATAAATGGGAGTTAGAGCAGCTTTGTGCTGCCAGAGTGGTACAATGTGTCCTAACCAGGTATTAAATCTTTCTTAATACAAAGTCGGCCAAGTGAGGCAGTCTGATATAATTTTCATCCATGTTTTCTGCCATTATGTCCAAAGCTGGCAATCTCTTTTGTGAGTTCCGAATCAGCAAGATACTTACACACATGTATAACTTTAACCATGTGTGTAGTCCCAGTGAAGTCAGTAGAAACTACACATGTGCTTAAATACCTGGATGAATTATAGCCACATACCCTAGCCCCCACATCTTGTGAAATAACATTTTCCTTTGTCCCTTATCGAAATGTTCTGCAGTGCACTCTTGTTTCTGGTCAGGTTTACAGAGCTAACTGAACCTTTGACCCCTTTCTGGTTTCTCAGATTCAGGGATGAATTCGAAAGAATAGGACTGCTCCTGCTCCTACTGATAACTCTGGCAAAACTCACATTGACTTCACTGGGAGAAGAATTAGACCAAATAGTTTTAGCAACCATTGCCAGAGACATTAGCAAGAGCTAATGCTAGAGGCATCGCATGGTGCTAGCGGCATTACTGCTAGAGAGCACTAGGCAATGCTGTAGTGATTATGGCCAGAGGCATCTGAAAATACACCACTAAAGGCACGTTCCTCTATGTGCTGCCTAGGACTTTACCTGCTCTATTTAGCCACAATGCTTTTAAAAATATAGGAACCTATGAGATGCTGAGCACTTTCAGCTCCCTTAAAGTGTGGAAGGTAATAATGAGGAGATGGTGCTCACCACCATTGCAAGGTCAGACTCAGAGGACGTGGCTCACAGGAAAGGGAATTAAAAGTTCTGTAATATTTGTGCTGCTAGAGCAAGCATAAGCTTGAATTGGTTGAGCACATAGATCTAAATGTCAAATATCTAGAATATTTTCCAAATTGAAGGTGGGATGTCAAAACTTGAGGAGAGTGATATTTATTTTAAAAAACAAACAAAATGTGTAGGTTAATTCTTACAAAATATTTGATCAGAACCAGAACCAAAATGCCACTAACTTATTCAAGAGATGGAGAAAATGTCAACAGATTTGAGGCTGTTCATTATCGTGAGAGCTAAAAATTAGACAGGGAATTACAGACAGTAATCTAAAAAGCAACAACAGCTGAAAACTTTGTGTGGCAGGTCTGGTTTCAGATACGTTTTGAAAAGCACAATTGAAAAGTGAAACATAGATTGGTGGGAAGTTTGTTAAGAAAACAATAGAGGACTATTGACCAGTGTGGGGTGTTAATTTGTTTGATTTGATTTTATCCTCCAAGCAAATTAAAGTCCAAGCACCTCTAAACTTTGTTATACTTTTGTACATCATCCTTGCATGCCAGCGTTTGCCTAGAAACTCACTCTAAGATGTCAGTCATTGAAACTATTTCATGTGGAAGCATTGCTAAGTAAATTCACTAAATGCCTATTCATCCCAGTAAGATGGAGAACCACTGAAGCAGCAAATGTGAAAATCTGCACAGCTTACTATACAGAAAGCAGTTTTCTGAGGATGCCAAATTGAGACACAGAGTCTGACCCTGGGAGGCATTAAAGCTCACATGAGTGAACATGGAAGGAGGGTCTCAGGCTCCTACAATCTAGCCATTTAGGTTGGTTGATAGACAGATACTCCAATTGGTCTAGACTCAATCAATAGTTAACTTGGTCTTTATTCATCCATTCGGTAATGAACTGTTACCTATGATGATGTGAGAGTTTGTAAATATAAGGTACTTAGATGCTTTACTAGTTCGATAAAGTCCCCAAGTTATTACTACGGATTGCATAATTTTAAAGCATTTTATAGAGGGAACTTGTTTAACTTGGTTTGATATGGCTTATAAAAGTGGAATGTTTCCAAGATGCTGTACCATCTACAACTGTTTTATCTCTGACTTGACCTGTATCAGTTGCATTATAGACCATTGCCAAAAAGGGTCACGTATCTCTTATTTTTAATGTTATGTTTTTGAATGTGAGTCAGTAGCTGAAGATCTATCTATTCATTAGAATTTTCTCAGTTTTCCTAAATATGTTGAAGTAGATAAATAAAGGAGGAAATGTGTTTGCACCTTTGTTGAAGTAATAGTGAACCATCGGAGCAGACTCAAATACATAAATTCTTGTACATTTAGGCTCAAAATTTGAAAACTACTTAGGATTTGGATGCCAAATAACCGATAAACAGAAATTAGCCATCCAAATTCCTTTGTTCCCATTAATTTTATTGGGAATTTGGCATCCAAATTCTAGGTAGTTTCAAATTTTCACATTAAGTCAAGTTAAATAAGTTCCCTGTATAAAAAGCTTTAAAATTGGCATTGAAAATCTCAGTCCTAACCTTTTTATTTGTGGGAGAATACTGTGCAAGTGCAGAATTAATGTCTCCCCACAGATTTTACTTTTTCCCCCACACAAAAATTGATCAATGCACCCCTTGCAGGCAGTGGCCAGGGGCGGAGAGGGTTACGTCTGGTTCAGGAGTCAGGAGCAGCTGTGGGAGATGTAAATCACCACCTTCGGGGTGGGGCTGGGCTCTCTCTGTCCCTCTCACTCATTATCGCAGTGTGTCTGGAACCAGGGAGGGGCGAGGCTGGGGACGCCCCTGCTGGTGGCTTTTACTGTGGACTGGGCTCCAGCTGCTAATCTCAGCTGAAGTGGGGGAAGTTCCCTGCCCCCACACAAAGAGGCCAGGGCTGGGTCAGACCCACCCCCAGGAACCTCCTCCAGCTCCAGGAAGCTCTGCAACCCCCACATTTCCTGCCCCCATCGCTCCCCATCTGCAGTGAGAGGAGTCACTGCATGGGGAGCTGTCCCCTGTCTGCCCAACTTCCATGAATCTGACCACCCCACACCCAGAACTCCCCTGCTGAGCCCCACTCCCTGCTGAGCCCCCTGCACTTGAACCCCCACCCCACTGATCCCCCACCTCCTGCACCTGGATCCCCACTCCACTGAGCCCCAACCAGTTGCACCCAGACACCAAGCCTACCAAACCTCACTCCCACAGCACCCGGTCTTCCCTGCTGAGCCCCCTGCACCCAGATCCCCTTGCCAAGCCCCATACCCCCACACTCAGACCACCCCCACTGAGCTCCAACCACCTTCACCTGGATCCCACCCCCAGAGTCCCATTCTTCCTGCACCTGGACCCCCCCCCCCAAAAGCCCCTGTGCATCCAGATACCCGCCCCCCACCCCCCCACCCCGGATCCCACACTAAGCTATCCACACCCAGATTGCCCCACACAGAACCCTCTCACCCTACAGCTGGATCCCCACACACTAAGCCCGTCCACACTTGGATCCTGCTAAGCAAAGCCTGCTTGCCTCACACCTGGATCGGGGGTGGGGTGGGGCTGGACATGCATGCAAGATTCTGTGGTGCCTTGGTGAAGGGATGGCATGGGGCGGGGGCGGGAAGAGGCGGGGTGGGGGCTTAGCGGAAGGGATGAAATGTGGGCGGGGTCCAGGGCTGAGCAACCCCTGGGGAAAATTAGGCATGGGCACCTGTGCACAGATCTGATCTGATTGTGTGTGTTCAGAACCTGATCTGCTGACTTGGTGACAAAAATCATTGTTACCAACCATGTTTTACTCCTGTGAGTATCACTGAGCTATGATTGTGTGAGTGTGATTGTGATTGTGCTGTGAGTGTGAGCCCAATTCTGTTCCTCTTTATGTGCATCAGCAAAACTGCTTGCTAAATTGACTCTCAGATCCCACATTAAATTTTCAAGACTTGCAGTTTAAAAAAAACAGCATTTTTGGCTCATAAACTGAGCACATTTGAAATAGAAATCACTGAAAGATAATAAGCATGCCTTTCTTTCTATCCAGTAGAACCAGTCTGTAAAGTTCAGCAAAACCAACAAAACACTTTCAGCAACAATGTCCTTTGTAGAGGAAAGGTCTGCATTAAAAATAGTGTTACCATAATAATATCTTAAAACTATGCCTTGAAGAGTCCAAAGGGTCTCAAAATAAGAAACAATAAACATAAATAACTCCGTAGTAGACAGATTTCTCTATCTGATTTGCACATTTTTTGTTGTTTCTTTCACAGGACAAATGATCAGCTAGTAGCGTTCCTGTCAAGGTATCGCGGTATGAACTTCTTGAAGTCGCATGGGAGGGACAATGCAAGGTAACATGACTTCTCTTAAGTTTGTTTTGGCAGTGACAAAAAAGTTAGACAGCATGGTTACTCCCAGTATGTCTGGATGAAGGAGTCCTGAGTTCAGGAGACTCGCACCATGAAAATGAAACCGTGTCTTGGGAATAGTTGTCTCTCACTCTTGCATGGCTGCTCCTGCATGTTATCTACAGAAGAGCTTTAGTGTAGAGAAAGGCTTAGAATAGATTGATGCTTACTCCATACTCCTAAGTAGAGGTGGGTTGCTGAATCAGAAGGTGGGGAGCTGAACACAAGAGATTTTCTTTTGTTCTCAGTTTTCTCAAACAGCCTAAACAGTTTTACAAGTGCAAATGAGCATTTTCCAACTCATTTCTGTGTGCAGCAAAAATTCTGTGTGGTGGTGTTCTATCTGTGTTGGTCCCACGATATTAGAGAGACAGGGTGGGTGACATTAAGAGCTCTGTGGAAGCTCAAAAACTTGTGTTTCTTACCAACTGCAGTTAGTCCAATAAAAGACCCTCATCCACCTTATTTCTGTAGCAAAAATTGGTAGAAGTAGTGTAGAAGTCACACACCATGTGGAATTCCATGGCAGGGTCCTATCAAAATCAAGCCTTAATCTTAGAGTAGGACTTTAAGAAACAATAATAAAACTTTGCATTTATGAGATGTCTTTTCCTCAAAGGTCTCAAAATACTGTATAAAGATGGATAATATTATTTCCATGTCATAGATTATTGAATCCCTTCAATTCCTTATGTGTATAATTACCCCCATCTGTATGCTGTATCTTAATTTAGACCCCAATCTTGCAACTGGTTCCATTAGCACAGACCCCAGAGACTGTGTGAAGATTCATTAACTTCAGTCTTGTAGATTTGCTTGCAGGTTTAAGCAAGCTAAATCACCAGGTCTGGGTCTTCCTCTGTGTCCTGTAAGATGCCTGCCACATCTTTGGTTATGGTACAGAAAATAAATAATAAGAGAGCAAGCAATACATCCAGGGTCACAGAGCCAGCCAGTGGGCGAGTCAGGAATATAAACCAATCCCTTAACTGCCAACTTGCTATTGCTGTAGACTGACAGCCTCCCTTTTGTCCTTATTTAGATGAATTCTTCACAGCGTTATCATTCTAGTAGTGTTGTGTATGCAGGGCTTGTATTGCATTTGGTACCAAAATATATTTGAGAGGGAGTTATATAAAAACAAGTCAAAAATATAAATAGCTTTCAGATCATATTCTCGGGTTTGGAAATACAGCTCTTCAGTGTGATTGACAGGCTTGGCTCTAGCTGGCAGTACAGTTAAATTGGAAAAGCAACGGAAAAGGTTAGGGAGATGCATTCCGTCGCTTTAGCTTTTCTTCTATTCTGGTGCACCTGATTATCTCCAAACATTGCAGCTAGCTAACTAAAATAACTAATGAATTATGACATTCATGCATAAAGCTGGGATTAAGATGCCAACCTCAGCTGGGACTAGAACAACTTAGATCAATTAAATGCACTAATTTGTTATTAATTTAATAATAAAATGTGCTAATATGCCACTCGTCCTCTCAGAAGAATAATATCCCATTTTATTAGTTCAGCTGTTTCTTTTGAATGTGTAAATATGTAAATGCCTATTTGACTCCTGACATGGTCGTATTAATGTTGCAGTTCATCGCTAGACATGGAAGGTCTTTGACTGCGCAATCTCACCTGCACAGAGGAAATAAGTATAGGCAATGCTTGAGTTCCTTTTGCCTTCTGATGGAACAGCTGAAAACAACATATAACAGGAGCAGGTGTAGCATTGGCACCTGGACATTTGCATTATGAGCTTCAGGCTGACTCAGATGTAGCATCAAAACAAAACATAATCTCAGAAAATGAAAATTATTTCCCCGCTCTATTGGGCTGGGCACTGGGCAAATGCACAGTGAGAGGAATCCTCCCGCATCAGACATCAGTGTGGAGGACTGGAAGATCTTTGCGGCTGCAAAACACTGGCCCTTGTTTGACTCTGTCCATACCATCGCCTGCATGCTGAGATCATGCATCCCCCAAACAGCCCTCATTCTGGCCCCACTCCTTGGGTACCAGAATCCCACTAGTTCCATTACAGTGAAACCTCTATGGATGTGGGAAAGATTTGCCCCTATGGTATGTGAATTATGACAGTCTTTGGGCCTGATTCTTTGTTGTCTTGTACCTTGTGTTGTCATTGTAGCCCATATAGGGGGTGATATGACCATGAGGTTAGTGGGATTCAAAAAGAGGATTAGACCTTACATGAATATCAAGGATAGGCAGAGTTATAATAGTAAATATTTAAAACAATAAAAAAGAGCTTTGGAAAGGCTATAAACCTTCCAGCTTCAGGGGGTAAGTCAAACTCATAATTATTGGGGGTTGGAAGAAACTTCCCTTTGTGACCTTATCCCATAACTAGCTACTGCAGGGTTTTTTCCTCTGAAGCAGCTGATGTTGGCCATTGTACGAGCCAGGATACTGCGCTGAATGGGCCACTGGTCTGATCTACAGTGGCAATTCCTATGGTCCTAGGTGTTTTCGTCAAAATATGAAGAACCATTAATACAAGAGTGCAGTATTTAAAACACAATTAGAGCAAAGTATAATCCCTAAGACTACCTTTTTGAATTCATGGGTGAATAACTGCTTCTAAACAATAAGTTTTTCAACTGCCTAAATCTTCTTTGTAAACAACTACCTACACTCTGAATTTAAAGTTACTATAGTCTGGTTTGTACAATGGAGAGGAGGGAGAGAGAGATTAAAAAATACATCTTAAAACTTAATGCTTATACCTCTCAATTGCAACGTAGTTTGTATTCAAGCCATGTAGACAATCAGTACATGTTTTACTGCCAAATATGGATAGAAACCAGGCTTCCTTTTATAGAATGAAGTTTTCTTTTAGTTATGCCAAAGTCATTAAAAAGTACATCACTCTGATTTTCCTTTAGTGACTTCAGAAAAGAAATGAAGGTGGAAATGTCTCCTTAACTCAGCAGGAGAAGCATTATTTTCTTAGAGAACTGGATGTATGAAATGAAATTACATACATTGGCTAGAGTTATTACATCGCACTTAGTGGGCAACACTTACCTTTTCTTCTCTTTTCAGCATCTTATACTATTAAAAGCAGAAGAATAACTCCCATAGTTCTATAAGCTATTACAACTTGGCTCACCCAGAAGATATTTTTGACAGGAGCGGCACCTGGCTGGTGTATTATAAAATACAAAGACAGTCAAATGTGACATCTTCACTGACAGTCAGGAAAAGACATTTTTTTAGAAACCCTGCCACAATAGTCATTTGGGGAACAGTGTAAACATGCTGTGATTGTTGGATGCTGTTAAATCTTAAGGGAATTGGAAGCTCACAGGCAGAATGGAAAGAGTTCAGAAAAGTTCCATTAATTTTTTTCTGTATTGTTTTATCGTTTTCTTTTTGTTTTGGATGTTTCCCCTCCCTCTTGTGTCACATAACCCCATCTATGGTCTTGAGTTCTAGAAAACAGACAGACATCCACTCTAGAGCCGCTTAGTAGACATATCCTTATGGTTTTCAGCATCCAGCAGTAGGAGCCAATCTTATTCTCACTGGCAACCTTAACGCACCATGGTTCATCCATGTAATACCCGGCACTACTAAGTACTGTACATAAAGTGCAATTTACTGTGCCTGATGCCAAAATGTTTTTAACCACTTAGCTGCCAGAAGCCTGTACATTCTTAATAGTTCTGAGGTACGAAAGTATTTGTTCAATGGCTTACTTAGCTGAAATTTCACACTGCACACATTTCAGTACTGTATCATCCTGAAATACCTTGACGAGAAAGGTCTATTCATTGCCAGAAACATAGTCCAGTATTTGTGGACACAGTATATCAGCTGAAGTAGTAACACTCTTCTTGGTATGCAAAGCAAGTGCATTTACAATTTTTATACCTTACAGCTAACTCTCAGATACTCCCCATTGCTTCATAATCAGTGCTAGAGGTGACATAAAAACTGCTTGTACTTGGCAATTTGCCTTCTCCTAGCTTTTTCATTTCACTCTGTTTAGAAGATGGTGATCAGAAGAGCCCAGTACTAAGGAAAACAAAATAGGCTGAAAGTGTGGGAAAAAATAAAGTAAGATCAGCTCAGATGGCCTCATAGGAAAATAGCCTGGGATTGTTTTTAGCAATGTGTTGAATGAATTTGGCTTGTGAGTACAGGAACAGTATCAGTCACCAGCCCAGATAGGTGACGTGATTTTAAGTCCTCCTAGAAAATATTTTGTTGTGCACAGAGAAGAAGGGAAAAGAAGAATTATTGGTTGAGAGAAAGCAAAAAGATTACATGAAATCTTTTGTGCCTACTACTTAACAACTAGCTGCTGATTTCATTTTTAATTGTATAAACAAATAATATTTTGTGTTTCCATAGTGTCTTTTCACTCAGCAACCTGAAAGCACTGTATAAAATAACTGAGTCCAGCAAATATCATTATCCCCATTTTACCCACAGGTAAACCAAGAGCTTGGTGCATGGTGAGTTTGTGTGTGACAAGCTAGAGTGTGAATCTACATCAAAGAGCATAGTAGAACTTCTAGTGCACTATAGCCATAAGTGCCGACTCTGCGGTGCACCCACGGGAAAAAAACAGTAGGTGTACCACTGGGCAGCTCCACGGATCAGTGCCTTCCCCCACCCCCAGTACCTCCCGCCGCACCTCCCACCCACCAAAGGCCCCACCAATCAGCTCTTCCCCCTCCCTCCCAGCGCCTCCCACCCGCTGATCCACGGCATGCAGGAGGAGGGGGAAGAGCGGGGGCAGGAAGAGGCGGGGCAGGGGTGAGGGTTTGGAGGAACGGGTGGAGTGGAGGTGGGGCCTGGGGCAGAGTGGAGGTTGAACACCCCCCCAGCAATTAGGTAAGTCGGTGCCTATGAAAAAAGCAGGGTCCACACAGCAAGTTAGTTCGTGGTGATCTGATGCTATGGATTCAGAC